TCAATGCAATTAATTAAATTAATTTTCTAATGTTAAATCCTCCTTACAGTTATAGAATAATTCTATATTCTTAGGATAAACCAAGTTGGTTGGGATGTGGGGCCCTGTTTATATGACTCTGGGTTTAGGTTGTTAATATTTTGTATAGAATTTTTATATCTATGTTTACAAGATAGGTTGGCTTATTTTTTATAAGATATTTTATCAGGCCCTGGTATCAAGGTTATGCTGGTGTTAAGGTTAAAAAATTTCAGAAATATTTTCTCTTTTTCATATTATCTGAAATGTTTTGTATAAGATTTGTGTTTTTTACTTCCTTAAATGGTAAATTCACCAGTGAAGCCATCTGGGTCTGGAATTGTCTTTGTTAGGAAGGTTTTAAAATATGCATTCAATTTCTGTAAGGGATATAATAATATATAATTTTCCTGCTGCTTCATGAGTTTGTTTTGATAGGTTTTGTTTCCCTAGGAATTTGTCTATATCATCTGATTTTCAAATTTATTTTCAGAAAGTATGAAGGTGTCTTTTTAATGCAGATTTTTAAAAAAAATTCACAAAATTAACAGAAGTTGTAAAAATATTAGAGTCCCTTTTACCCCTTTGAACTATTTGACAATAAGTGGCCCACTGCCCGCCTGCTTTATCACCCCCAAGTACTTTAGTGTATGTTTTCTACAAACAAGGGTATTCTCCTAAATACCCACTATACAACCCTCAAAATTAAGTTACTGACATTGATATATTATTATATCTAATCCTCAGAACCCATTCATGGTCAGCAGCGCTCCAAATAATGTCCACTATAGCAAAAGGGTCTTGTTCAAAATCATGCTCCGCATCTAGTTGTCACGCCTCCTTAGTCTCCTTCATCTAGAACAGTTCCTCCGTCATTGGTTCCTGAAGATGCAGGCATTTCCTTTTTAGAATGTCTGAGTTTGTCTGACGTTTTTCACGGTGAGATTCGGGTTGTGCATCCCGAGCTGGAACGCCACAGAGTGGTGCTGTATTCCTCTCACTGCTTCTTATGAGGTGATGCACAATTTTGATTTGTCCCATTACTCATAATGCCCACTTTGATCTCTCCGTTAGGGAGGCATATCTACGAGGTTCTCATGTAAAGTTGCTCTTGTTAATAAGTACTTTGTCAGAAGGTGCTTTGTAACTCTGTCCACAACCTGTTCCTTAAAGTTCTTTCAAATATTTATATCTAGATGGACTCATGGCATTCCTCCTTCCCTCAATGTGTTGTAAATAGTTACTAAAATTATTTATTTTGAAGCTCAGATTGTTAGTGGGATTTGGTCAGTGCTAACCCCTTCCAGCTGGCTTCTGTGTCCTGTGAACGTGTCCCCATCATTCTTTGAGTATGCCCCTACTCTTAGACAATAAGCTTTTCTAAGTTTGTCTCATGCTTTCCCTTTCCCAGCCCTGGAATTAGCCATTTCTTCATGGAGTTCTGGTTCCTTTTAGTGAAGAATAGATTTAGAAGCCAAGATCTGGGCTCTAGGTATGCTCACTGGTTGAAATATTGTTCTGAAATTCCCCCAGTGGACAGGGGAAGAAGGTTCGCCACGGAGGGGGGCAGCCTTGTTCTTAAAATCCTCCCAGGGTACTCTGAAGTGTGTGAGTGTGTGTGTGTGTGTGTGTGTGTGTGTGTAAACATACAAATTATATGAATATTTACACTATATTTGCTTCTATTATTAAAAAACTGAGTTCACACTGATACCTTCAATTCTAATTCAACACGATGGAGTTTGTCCTAGTTTTTCTCCCTTTCCACATTTGTAACTCCTTTCTCTAATAATGGAAGCCAGAGACCTGGCTTTCATTAACCTTTCTATACATATTTTTGGTTAATGCCCCTCTCTCTGTATGCATGTCCCCTCACCTCATTTGGGTTCTGATATCCCATGCAGGCTTTCCCACTTGTGCGTGTCCTTGGGGGCATGTCCTCGGGACCCTGGGGGTGTCATGACACGCAGGCCGGTTTGCCCCACGGGATGTTCTCATCACTCCACCTAAGCTCTAACTTCCTGTTTGGGGTCTGACACCAGGCTCCAGGCTTCCCCCTTCTCCTCGCACAGCTGCCTCCTCACCCCACCTGGGTCCTCACACCACAGTCCAGGCCACCACCACACAAGGACACACCCGACCCCCACTTAGCTGTGGTTTTCCCTCGTCAGGCCACCTGTCTGCGTGGATGCCTGCCTCCTTCACCAGGTACGTGCGCCTGTGTAGATGCCTCTTCCCGGGTGTTGACAACCACCCAGTCTCTTCTCCAGGATTCTAGTCCTATTGGGCAGTGACTCCACTCACAGGGTTGCTCCCTTCGCTCAGTGTAGGCACACTCCTCCCCCTGGTGGAGCTTGTTGCCCCCCCTCCGTGGGGAACCTTCTTCCCCTGCTGAGCTCTGCTTCTGGGCTGCCTCACCCAGCCTGGGCTCCACGTGCCGTGCAGGGCTACCTATGTGTGCACCCCCTCCGCATCCTATTTGAGCTTTGACACGGCATTTGAAATGATGTCCTGTTTTACTCTAGATATTAATATTAGTAATTTATGCCATCTCTTTCCCTTCTTGATTAGTCTCTTCCAGTAGTTTATCAGTGTTCTCAAAGAATTCTTTTGTGGTTTGCTGATGCTTTCTATCAACAGCACGTTTTCTATTTGACTTCTGATGGATAGTACTTCATTTTTTCTACTTTCTTTTGTGACCTCTGTGATCCATGGGTTATTTACCAGTATGTTTTAGTTATTTTGTCTACATTCCTATCGATTTATAAAGTTCTATTTCTGTTTCTGATTTTAGTTTAATTCTACTGTGGTCAGAAACATCCTGTGAAATGTGTTGAGCCTTAATTTATTGCCCGCTGTCTCTAATCAGCTTGGGCAGGTTTCCAGAGACACTTGCACAGTGAATTCTCCAGGTGTTGGGTGGCCACTGTCTTTTAGAGCTGGGTCACTTGGACATGCATGCAGTGTTGTTCTCAGGGGCTGGAGGATACCTTGTCTTGTTTCGTAGGTGCTGTACCATCCGTAGGTAGCAAATTAAAATGCTTAACATGTACCCATGCATGAACCCCTGTATGGATATGTTGTTTCCACAAAACAGTGCATGAAATCAGGTATGAAAAAGGGATAAAGTAATATAGGGCAGCATCATTTTGGCGTTTCATCGTCCGACCAGGAGTTTCTTCTTAAGTTTGGATGTTTACAGTGTGATACAACAACTATAACGTACATTGTTATTTTGTCAAACAGTTGTTTTAAAGTTTTCCAATATCAATTAAGTTTAAGCCAACTCTTAGTTATTATATTATTAGAGGCCTGGTGCACAAAATTCGTGCAAGGGCCTTGGCCCCGGCCTCCTCGGCCTCTGCCCACTGCGGCTTTGTCTGGAAGGACGCCTGGTCTAATTAGCATTTACCCTTTTATTATTATAGATCCTGTGTGCACAATGATGTGGTTGTCTATTTGAGGAAAAAGGCATTACTGAAAAAGTTTTTAAAAAGGAGAAATCCTCATAACTTTTTTTAATGAAATTCCTATTCCACATACATTTGGGCATTTTTTTTACTTGAAAAGTGAAGAGTAAAGGGAGGTATTATTTTCAAAACGTTGAGGATTTTAATAATAATTTATAATTATATATATTTATACATTCCAATATATGTAGTATGTCATTTGTATATTCTAAAACAATTTGCATATTCCAATTCACAGCTTTAAAATCGTCTCTCTCAAATCCAGAAACAGTGGTAAGGTCTGCCCATGGAGCCTACTTAGCATCCTTAAATACCACTGACCTCTTTTGGGTAACTTGCCTGGAGCGCAGGCACACTCCATCTGAACAAGAGCAGGTGACGGAGCTCAGCTGTATACATACCCTGGTTGGCAGGCAGCTAGAGAGCTACCCGCTATAAACATAAATAAACCAAAGGAATAATGTGTAACATTATATTACCAGACAGAAGTTATGACGTGCTGCTCACAACAAAAGCAAGTTCAGAGGATTATTACGGTGCAACAGCTAGTGAGGAAAAAAGACTAGTACAAACTACCTTTCTTCAGAGTCCCTTTCGAGAAGGAGATCCATAGTCCATTAGAAGAAAAACTGTGAGCAGTATTTAAATGTAATATCTGATGTTGCATTCAGGGTTTACCTACACAGACTTAGCTGTTCTGCAATTGTAAACTGAACCATTTCCTTACGCCCCGCCCCCTCCTGCTCCCTCGTCTATCCTTGTTCACAGACATGTCCTCAGCCATTGAGATACACCGTGGAGGTAAAAACTCAAAGGACCATTTAGAGGGAAGGAAAAGTGTTGCACATTAACTGCTGGAGGCAGAGATACCTGCTGAGGACGAGGTGGAGCCGCATTAGATGGAGCCCAGGCTGCGTGGGGCAGGGGGTGGCCTCCGATGATGACGATGTGGGTGGAATGGGAGGGAATGCAGCCTTCATTCCGCCTTTGCTGATTGATGGGGCCTTGACTCCCAGGGTACTTCGTGTGTCAGGATTCGGATCTAGAGTAGACGTGGAAGAATAGTTTCTGATGCTGTTGAACTGAATGCTAGTTTAATAAGTTCATCTCAGTCATTGAAGAAAACAAATGAAGTTTTTTTATGTGTGTTTTACCTACAATATTTTTACCTACGGTGACTAGAGAGAACACCGATCATAAGGAAGTCTGATGCTTCAGGTTTGTTCTGAAAGAAAGAACTAGGTAAGCTATTTCACGAATATTTATCACTCCCACTCTTATGCTATATAACTGGCTCTCTCTAGTATTTGAGAGTATATTTTATTTTTCCCTGATATCACTGTGCGGGAGGAGAGAGTAGGAAATCCGATGAGCTTATGTCTGCATCTGAACTGTAGTGAAGCATACGTGTTTCAATCCAGTTTTATTTTGTAAATTATTTGCAATGATTGTGGACTGTGCTGCATGTTGAGGCTACTTGGAAACAGTGATCAGATTCTTACTCCTTCTCAGGAAACTGCATTCAGAGAATGAGAAGAACACCCCCACTGGATGAACTGCAGCCCCCGCCATATCAGGATGACAGCGGGTCTCCCCACCTCTCATGTACACCCTCAGAAATCGGGGACAGTAAATGTGAATTTTCCCACTGCAGCAACAGCCCAAGACGCTCCTATAACAAGTGCCCAAGTGAAGGAAGCACCGGTCACGAAATAGAAAGCTTTCACAATAAAGGATATGAAGAAGACGTTCCAAGTGACAGCACTGCAGTCCTGAGCCCTGAAGTAAGTAAAAGCACACAGAATTTTCTAAGTGAATGTTACTTGGAAGACTGGTAATCCTGCGCTTCTCCTCTTGGTAAGAAGAAAGTTTTAGCACTTTGTGGCTTACTGTACCAGTTTCTATCCTCCATCTAATCCTTAACCAGCAGACTTACCAGGGGTGTCTCAACCATTCTGCAGCCGCCCCCGCCCCCCAAAGGAAGATGGAGAGCTGAAAATGAGAGCAATACACAAAATATTGAAAAATTAGCTTCCCCCAAGTTTCAACCTCAAGATAGATTTTTTAAAAAAACATTCTGGAAGTATTTGTTTCATAATGAGTGAGGTTTCTATTTATGTTTGTCTCTTTTAAAAATTTATTTTATTTGGGATATTTCTATATTGGGAGGCTGCCCATTAATATTTCACAAAATAACGGTTTTGCATTTTCATATCAGAATATGGAAGAGAAGTCATGCTCAGCCTCACTAATGAAATGTGAATTCTTGGCGTCAATTGGTTGTGTTTTGAGTTATTTCCTTTTTTAGAGCAAAATATGTGAAAATTACACCAAAAATAGGGTGTTACACATTTGATATCTTTCCATATTCTAAAAAGAATTTTTAAAAATATTTCTGTAAAGGTAAAAATTATAAAGGTCATCTAGAGGGTTTCATAAGGTAGTATTTACTTTTAAATTTTTCTTTTAGATTTGCAAGTTTTTACAACTTCTGTCCTAGACAACATTCTGTAGAACTGTAGTGTGTCATTGTTCTTACTAGCTGAATTTGCCTCTGCTGCCAAATGTTCAGATAGAAAACAAGAAGCGAGAGGATCCAGATGAGGTGGGTTCCACACTTAGGACAGGATGCCCGCAGGCGCAGTGGCAGGGCCACGCTATGTGAATCCTGGCGCATGTAATGCCCATTTGTCCCGTCTCACTCTTTCTGCTCCGTCAGTTTCCCCCAGTTACGGTGTGGTAGCAAGGACAAGAGTTGAACTAGGAGCAGGGGTGCCAAGGGCCAGAAACACATAACTTATTTTATGGGCGCAGTGCAGGGACAAGTACTCCTGGTCACCAGTGAAACTTGCCAGTTAGCCTACCAAATAGGCATAGGTTTTACCTGATTTCTTTACTAGAACACATGGGTGACAGCTGTCAGCCCAGAAGTGACATGGCCATGGCTTAGGCTTCCCATCCCTTTGGCTTCCCTTTTAATAAGTAATATTCACTTGTTCTATCATATTTTCTCTTTTTCTTTCTATCTTACAAGTTACTTAGCGACTATATTTACTACATCTTCAGAATTCTGCCTGTGTCTCCAAAGGTGTTTCATTGTTGATTATCTATAGTTAGTACAGCTGGTGAGTTTTGCCCATATTTCAGAAGTTACTAACCAGTCTCCTCTAGTAGAATTGACTATATTCAAATAGAGCAAATGCACTTTACATAAATATTGAGATGCCAGTAGTCTCTGGTAATATAAAGTCCACTCTCAAGTTTATTTTACTTCCCATTTCTTACATTTAGTAAGAAATACAAAATCTTGACTCTCCTCTTGGTTTAATTCAGGCTGTGGCTACCTAAGAGCCTCTCCTCTCACACTGCTGAGCCGGGAAAGGAGCGAGGGTTCCGAGGCCCTGGCAAGGAGCTCAGACGCTGGTGGACACTATTCAGAACTTTAAGATACCATGAGAGGGAGGTTATTTTCTAATTGCCTATTTGCAGAATACACATAAGAGCTTAATCTGTGAAGGTCATGAGAATTGTTAGAATGCACCAAGAGAAACAAAATTCAGAAATAGCTATCTGGAACCTTATAAAAAAATTTTACTGCCCTGGAAATAGCTGTCATGACACTATTTTAAAAAACAATTAATTGAAATTTCAAAGCCTTGCAATTAATCATGTATATTTACCATTATGAAATGGCATGCATTAAAACATTTTGCTCTAAACTGTAAATATTTTTTTACAGAGCAAGAATATGTTTATTCTGATTGAATTATATTGTATAAAAAACAATTCTTCTAGAAGACTTTGTCCCCTCCCCCAAGTATTGTTCTTAATTTGTCATCTTTTCCATACATGTTACCAAGGGGGTCAGAGTAGGTAGATGTGTAATATTTATCATTTATAAGGTCAAAAACTTGTATGTTTTTAGTTCTCTACTACATCCCTCCCACCTAAACTAGGGCTTGGCACATAGTAGGTGAATAGTTAGGATCTGTGTTAAGCAGTTAGAACAAAGAGTCAAAGAATAAAACTCACAGAAGATTGTCTTTCATTTACGAACGTCCAGGGTGAGTAGGTTCCTTCTGCGTTGTCACTGTCATCTGTAGGGTGCTGTCCTAGTCCCCGGGGTCCATACTGACTCACACATCCTGTCTCAGTGTCTGCTCTTCTGTGAGAAGAGTGGGAGAGAAAGGAAGTGAAGGGCAAAGCATTTCTTCTGTTTGCCGCCCATTGGCCAAAACTGAGCCTCATGGACTTATCAGCCACGAGGGAAATTTAGAATTACAGTCTCTTGCGAGACAGTGTGTCACTGGCTAAAACTCACGTAGTTCCTTTGAGAAGTGCAAAAATAAGAGAAGACTGGGAGTCAATAGTAGGGGCTACTAAGTGAAAGTTCAGAAAAATTTAGAAAATTGGTCCACATTTAAAAATGAAAACATTTAATATTTATTAAAATGCTTGAAGGAGCAGGTGGTAGAGTTGAAAGGTCAGAGACCTGGGTTTGACACTGTCAATAACTAGCTGAAACTCTGTTCACATTCCAGGTAAAATGGGCACAATTTCTTTTAATCGCATAATTAAAATTTGGTCTTTCTTGAACTTTTGAAATACGTATTATTCTGCCATTTTCAACAGTAATTAGTATTAGAAATAAGTTTCTTATTAAAATTAGTGTGTTACAGAAAATAAGTATTTGGTTGCAAATATTTGGAGGCCTCTTTGTGTTTATAATTTCACATTTCCAGTGATTTTCAAGCCTAAATGTGTTTACGTTCTATCATAGATGGGAGCATTTTAGAACAAACTCCGAAAATGGGACCAGTTTTCTTCAGTAGCATTATACTTTATGTTCGCTTTCTCTCCAGCCTAATGCTGACCTGTCAGTTGCATTGTTTATGATATTGGAAGTAAAATTGAATAGGTACCTACAACAGGATCAGAGATACACACTGAAGTATATATTTTCAGTTCTCATTGTAAAAACATATCTCAACTTTCTCCAAATTGTAATGGTGAAAACAAAATTCTTTTGTGCTAAGTTTTTGAGGTTAGCTTACCACGTATATCGTGGCCCTGTCGAGTAGCTTCTGATTATACTAAACTGTTGATTGTTGGCACATTCTTTGTGGCAGCCAACCAAACAGTTCTCACACCCTCTTCCTAAGACAGACCAGGTGTTTAATTACATGCCAGATTAAATAACAGTTAAAACTGAAAACATTTAAATTTGCTTTTCTTAGGACATGTCAGCTCAAGGATCATCTTCACAGCTTCCCAAACCCTTTGATCCTGAGCCAGAAGCTAAGTATGGCACACTGGATGTGACTTTTGACTATGACTCACAAGAACAGAAGCTCCTGGTAACCGTGACAGCTGTCACAGATATCCCAACATATAACAGGACAGGTGGCAACTCATGGCAAGTACACCTTGTTCTTCTACCTATAAAGAAACAGAGAGCAAAAACCAGCATCCAGAGAGGACCATGCCCTGTCTTCACAGAAACATTCAAATTTAACCATGTTGAATCTGAGATGATTGGAAATTATGCAGTTCGATTTAGACTGTATGGTGTACATCGCATGAAAAAAGAAAAGATGGTGGGGGAAAAGATTTTTTATTTAACAAAATTGAATCTTCAAGGGAAAATGTCATTACCTGTGATATTGGAACCTTCTTACAATCATTCTGTGAGTATCTGATCAAATAGCCCAAATATAGTTTAAGTTCAAGGTCTATGATATGCACAATTTTAATCCAATAAGCCCAATAACCATACCTTTACAAAATTTCTAAGCCCTGAATAGGTAGGTATAATTTTTTTCTCATCTATAAGTTGCCCTTGAAGATTATATATGATTTATCTTATGTATTTTATCCTTCTCAGGGTCTAGCCCAGTGTCTTAAACATTTGCTCCTTTGTTAAACATTTATTAGATGGTTGATTATGACATCATCTGAACTCCTTATAGAATACATGGTTTTCTTTCCAGGTTAAAACTATGTGGTGCATTAAGAACGATCTAGCCCCATATGTTTGATATTATTTGCTCGTATAGAATATGTACTGCTGTGTAGGTCAGGGCTGATTGTAATTCCAGAACTGCTATGAAATAATTTTTAAAACTTCAAAAGCATGACCTCGTTATATTTTCCACCTTTTTATACAAAGATTCTTGTAGTGTTTCTGGAAGAATACTTAAATCTAGTGCCATCATCTGTTCTCCCTTTTCTCTGTTTTCCTCAGGTTCTGATCACATACAGGCCTCTCTCTCTCTCTCTCTCTCTCCGTGTTTTTAAACTAAATCCCTACAAGCCACTGCAGGTCACCAGAGGGCTGCACTGTTTATTTAAACCGGGGACACGCACTATGCCGCACTGTCACTTAGATTATGAGAAATCTGTGATGTGCTATAAATTAGGGCATTTGCTCACCTGTTACGCTGAACTTTTCACAATATAAATACACAGATTTCGGAAGGGATTGGTACATTATTTTAAAATGCAACATTTTAGGCTTGTTGTTAAGCTTTGAGAAGTGTAAGCATGAGTCCAAGATTAGGGCCTCACTGGGTCTGTGCCGCGCAGCCTTGATCATACTGGAACACCGTTCACAGTAGAGCCCCACCGTTTTACCTGCTGGCCACTCGGACCAAACAATGTGGGTTTTTAAAGTTTGTCATTAAGAGTGGCAGAACATTTCATTGGCCTTCACTTTTTTCTCTCTTCTAATAAATTCCGAAATTTAAAATTATAACAAATGATCAATTTCCCTACTAAAGACTTAAGTGTTATCCTACAAACCCACAGGGATATACCATGTTGTCACCTTTTGGTTTTTAAATGTTGGAAGTGTTTGTGGCAAATAACTAACTTCTTTAGTTACATAGGTTCATAAATCGGAAGAAGTTGTGCTAATGGATTACATCAGGAGCTGCAATTTGGATAAGAGTTTGGACTTTGAGATGATGAGATTTAGATTCAAGAATAGGGACTTATTACTTTGAACTGATAATGTAATAGGATGAGACTTTTGGGAACCTTGTACTGGGGGAATACATTTTACAAGTGGGATGTATTTGAATCGTGGAGGCCAGAAGGCAGACTGTGGTAGGCATAATTCTAAGATGGTCCTCATGACCTTCATTCCCTGCTATTACTCCTATGATTATGTTATGTAACATGGCAAAGGGATTTTGAAAATGTAATTAAAGTTACTAATTAGTTGACATTAAGATAATGTATTATCTGGGTGTGCCTAACTCAATTACTTGAACCCTTGAAAAGCAAAGAGTTTTCTATGATTGGTAGCAGATAAAATAGATTTAAAGCATTAGTGAGATTCAACACGAAGTTCTCCGTTGCTGAGACAAGTGGGTTATGGTAGAAGGACCATGGAGCAGCCTCTAGCCAACCACCAGCAAAAATGTAGGGACCTCAGTTCTACAGCTGCAAGGAACTGAATGAACTTGGAAGAATATTCTTCCCCCTGGAGCCTCCAGATAACACCCCAGCTGAGCCAACACCTCGATCAAAGCCTTGTGAGACCCTTTACAGAGAACCCAGTTGAACCCACCCAGACTCCGACCTGCAGAAACAGTGAGATAATAAGTGGATATTTTTAAACCTACAGTTTGAAGTAACTTATCAGACATCAGTAGAAAATTAACACAGCCCACAGGGTTTTGCTCTTTACAGAAAACTTTTGCTGACCTCTGCTCTCGACAACTAGGAATTGAAATAAGTATTAGATGTGCAAATCACTTCTTTGGGTGAGGTGAATACTCAGATAACATTCTGTAAGTCTTTCATTTTGGTGGGATGTTCTTTACCAATTCATGAAGTCTCCAGCAAATACCTTTATATAACTATAAACATATCTAAATAAAATCTGCAGGTATTCTTTTTCTTCATGGTTGCTCCCTCAACATAGATGCAGTCACTTAGAGAAACATTATTTATTTAGAAAATAATTTCCGTGAGCAAAATATTTTCAGTTTTATTTCATTTTCTTCTATTAAATTTATAGAAAGTAGAATAGATTTTTAAAATAAAGGTATAGTTTTATCCCATATTTTAATGAAAATATTTCTTTTAATGAAAATATTTCTATTCCTATTTCTGTTTTGGACATACTCATAGAATGATGTCTGCAAAATGTTTACCTAATAACCATTTATGAATAGTAAAGTTTAAGGTGATTTTTTTTACTTCTATCTTTGTTATTTCTGTATTATTTGATAATCATTTGTCAGTTTAAAGAAAACTACTAGATTTTAATAAATGTAGTAGGATACAAAATTAACACCCAGAAATCTATGGCTTTTTTATACACCAATAATGAATTCACAAAAGGAGAAATGAAAAAACCAATCCTATTTACCATTGCACCAAAAAAATTGATACCTAGGAACAAACTTAACTAAGGAAGTAAAAGACCTGTAGTCGGAAAACTACAGGACATAGAAAAAAGAGATCAAGGGAGACATAAACGAATGGAAGAATATATACCCTGTTCGTGGATTGGTAGACTCAACATCATTAAAATGTCCATACTACCCAAAGCAATCTATAGATTCAATGCAATCCCCATTAAAATACTAAGGGCATATTTCACAGACCCAGAACAAACTCTCCAAAAATTCATATGGAGTAAAAAAGATCCTGAATAGCCACAGCAATCCTGAGAAAGAACAAAATTGGAGGGATCACAATACCAGATACCAAGCTATATTACAAAGCCACTCTTCTCAAAACTGCCATATAGACCAATTCAACAGAACAGAGAACCCAGAAATAGACCCAAGCCATTTGTTCAATTAATATTTGACAAAGGAGGCAAAACATTCAGTGGAACCAAGACAGTCTCTTCAACAAATGGTATTGGGAAAATTGGACAGATACATACAAAAAAAAAAGAAACTAGAACACCAACTTACACCATACACAAAAATAAACTCAAAATGGATAAAGGACTTAAACATAAGGGGGAAACCATAAAAATCTTAGAAGAATCCATAGGCAGCAAAGTATCAGACATATGTCGTAGCAATATCTTTACTGATACAGTTCCTAGGGCAATGGAAACTAAAGAGAAAATAAACAAATGGGACGACATCAAAATAAAAAGCTTCTGCACAGCAAAAGAAAACATCAACAACAAAACAAGAAGGCCCACTGCAGGGGAGAACATGTTTGCCAATGTTATCTCCCATAAGGGTTTAATCTCCAAAATTTACAGGGAACTCATACATCTTAAAGATAAACAATCCAATCAAAAAATGGGCAAAGGACCTAAGACACTTTTCGAAAGAGGACATACAGAAGGCCAAAGAGACATATGAAAACATGCTCAAAGTCACTAATCCAAGAGATGCAAATCAAAATGACAATGAGGTACCATCTCATACCTGTCAGAATGGCTATAATCAACAAATGACAAGTGCTGGCGAGGCTGTGGAGAAAAAAGAACCCTTGTGCACTGCTGGTGGGAATGCAGACTGGCGCAGCCACTGTTGAGAACAGTATGAAGTTTCCTCAGAAAATTAAAAATGGAGCTCCCATTTCACTCAGTAATCCCACTTCTAGGAATATATCCCAAGAAATCAGAAACACCAATCAGAAAGGACATATGCACCCCTATGTTCATAGCACAATTTACAATAGCCAAAATTTATAAACAGCCTAATTGCCCATCAGCAGATGAGTGGACTAGAAAACTGTGGTACATCTACACAATGGAATACTATGCTGCTGTAAAAAAGAAGGGACTCTTACCATTTGCAACAGCATGGATGGAACTGGAGAGCATTATGCTAAGCGAAATAACCAGAAAAATATAAATATCACATGATCGCACTCATTTGTGGAATATAATGAACATCATAAACTGATGAACAAAAATATATCTAGAGACATAGAACAGACTGTCCAACCTAAGAGAGAAGGCGGGGGGAGGGGGACTAAGATCAACCAAAGGACTTGTATGCATGCATATGAGCATAACCAATGGTCACAGGCAATAGTGGGGGGAGGGCGGGAGCAGCTGGGGAGAGGTTGGGCGGGGGGAAAGGAGACATGTAATGTTTTAAACAATAATTTAAATTTTAAAAAATCTTAGCTTTTATTTAAATAGCCCACCTTTATAGAAATTTGTTCAATTATTTCTAATGTAATTTAATTAGTTGACCTTAATCTTTTTATACCAAATATTAGTACTGATTATTGCTTTATAAATGTTGGAAGGATGGGTAAATGAGTGCATGTGGTACGTATTATTTCTAAGTTTCTGATGGCGGGTTTTTTGTAGCTAATTATGTTTTTGTTTTAAACTCTGAGATGAGAATGTGTGTTTTACATATATGGTATTTTTCATAGTACCTAGGAATTGGTATTCAGTGAACACTTGTTAAATTGATTCATCAACATGTGCAGATAAACTTGATCATTTTTAAATTCTAAGTTCCATATATTATTATTCCCTGATGGGTACCAGTATCTTTAAAACAGCCCTATTAAGGGCCTGAAATCAAATAAGTGTGCATCTCAAGAATAATTTTATTTTTTAAATAATAATTGATTGATTAGGGACATGTATGCTTTATAATTTCTCCTTCAAGAGTAGAATGCCACAGTCTACTAAGAGTGACCACACTTCAAGATTTACTGCAATGTTGATCTTTTAATTACT